GGCCATACTTGCGCAAGAAGCCACTAGTGTAGACATAGCCTAAGGGTGAGGGGAAAAGGGACAACTGCCCTGGGACCCAGAAATTTAAAAGTGCCTGGGGTTCCCGACTGCCACTACTGCAGAAGCCACGACAGTGGAGAGGAGCCCCAGGCCCTTCAGATCACTGCTGAAGCCCCTGGGCTCCTAGCTACCATGGCAGCGGTAGCCATGAAGGGGTGACTGGGTGGGGCGGGGGAGGGAGGAAGAGGAAATACGATCCCCAGCCTCTCTTCTTTTACCTGAGTCCCTGCCTCTTCCAGGGGCTCAGAGCAGCCACTGCTCCTCATCCCTACACCTTGCCAAGTGCATCAGTGTCCTGGTAATAACTTTCACCCCGAGACTCCACCATAATTTTTGGTAAGTGGTTAAAAAATATGCCTTATTAAAATTTACATCTTATAGATTTTTGGTAAGTTGTTCCCATGGTTAAAAAATATGCCTTATTAAAATTTACATCTTATAAATGCCATCTTATTTTGTGAATAATAATTAAGTTTCTATTAAAAGTGGGACCTGAAATGCACTGTGTGAATCTTGAGGGGAGAAGGGCTTTTTGGGAGGCGTGATTGTTTTCTTTTGTTTTTGTTCGTGCCCTTCTCTATTTATAAATAGGTATGATTTATTTCTAAGTTAACTTTCAGCTTTTTCTGGTCTCTCAAGCCTCTTGTTTATTCCTGCTTCCACACTTCTTCCATCCTTTCTATTCACTGAATGATTCAGTTAAAAAAGCTACCTAGATTGTAAACACTTTTGGCTGTTAATACATGTCTGCAGTGCTGCAACATTTTTCTGTACCCACACAAATCCCCATTACCCTAAAGTTGTCTGTTGTCCTAGTATCCCAGTCTATCTAATGCCATTTCCAAAATATTGGTAGACTAAAGCTTTATCTTGATCCCTTCTTTGCTAAAATCTTAAAGGTATGCCTCTATCACTTCCCATGTAAACTGCTGGATTTTCTTTTAAATGTTCTTCCCTAAATTCCTGGTTTGTAAACTTCAGGACTTTTTGAGGAAGCAAGGACTGGTCATTTAAAATATTGATTTGTAACCTAAAAGCAGTAAATAAAAAACTGTATTTTGCAGCAAAGAATCAGATAGTCTTGTATTTCCCTATTTTTCAGAGGAACATTTGCTATTATTAATTTAAGTAACATGCAAAACAGAATTTTACCATCAATATATTTTAAGATTTTTTCCCTGATGATGATGACAGCTTTCTTTTGGCTGAAAGAGTACAGAAAATCAATATATTTTAAGATTTTTTTCCCTGATGATGACTTAGCTTTCTTTTGGCTGAAAGAGTACAGAAGCAGAAAAGACCAAAAGAATAAGTTCATCATAAAGCAATATCAATGTTTCTTCTAGCTTGAGAGTCCTTTGAAACTTCAGGAAAGATGTTAGCTTTTTTCTGTTACTGAACAAAATATTCCCCATTTTTCTCAAATTAACTTATTATGGTTTTTCAGTCCTGTTTGAAATTTACATAATCATATCTGAAAAAGAATTAGTTAAGTAAAAAATGAAGTGTAGGACCCATTACTAATCCTGAAAATCTTTATTATCCGGTGGGGAATATCGGAATTGTCTTAAGAGTTGAACAGAGACTGTAGAAATCTCAAAGTTCCCATTTTTAAATGTCAAAGGAAAACATAATACAGTATTAGGGATATTTAAAACTTCAGTATAGTTTCAATGTATTTCATTGTTTTTAGGAAGAGGGGGGAAATTGCCTTTAATCAAAATGCTACACTAAGCTTTATGGTATTTGCTCTTGCCTCTGGTACAGAGAATCTTTCTGGTGTTTCCTTTATATTTTTTTCTACCATCGTAGCCTTGTTTTCCAGTGGAGAAATGTTAACTGAGATCGTATGTAATTTAGCTTCAAATATATAAATTCTTTATTCTAAACCAGGGGTGGGGAATCTTTTTTGGGTCATTTGGGAGCTGCACACAAGTGAGAAACAAAAAAACAAAACCTGCACTGAAGCAGCCCTTGACTGGAAAGGAGAAAGACACTTCTCACATTCCCCTGGCACACCAGAGCCTTAGGGGGGCCAGCCTAGTAGATTTTGTGTGCTCCAGCCCCATGAGGAAAGAGGGAAGGAGGCTGGAGCACCAGCGTAGGCTCACCGATACTGGGAGGGGGGAGCCCTGGGCCAGATCCAGGCAGGCTGGGGGCTGAATCTGGACCCCGGGCTTTAGGTTCCTCACCCCTGTTCTAAACCCTGGATGCCAGAAAAATCATCTCAAGTGGGTGTTTATCTGTTGAAAGATCTATTAACAACTGGTCTACCCATGTCTCAGGGAGTCCAGTTTTTATAGGCCCTGTAAACTTCAGAATGGGCTCTACCATCTCCTAGTCATAGAAAAGCTTCAATATCTTTCTTGCTAAGAAAAATAAATGTCAGACTTACCAAACCAGCTAAATAATCACAACATTAAAATCCACATGAACCCCATTGGTGTCATTCAACGAATAACATGAGCATACCTTAAGGTATATGAAAAACACTCCATAAAGAGTCTTATTCCATTGCTTGTCTTCTAAAACGGGTGGGGAACCTCAGGCCCAGGGTACAGATTCGGCTCCTGGATTGCCCGGATCTGGCCCCTGAGGTTCAGGGCTCCCTCCATGGCATTGGGGAGACAGCCTCCCACCACAGGGCTAGAGCACACAAAATCTACTAGCCTGTTGTGCAAAAGGAATGTGGGGAGTGTCTTTCTTCTTCTCAGTCAGCCATGTCAGTGAGCGAGGGTGCTTCTCACTTGTGTGTGGCTCTCGACTTATTTTTCTGTGGGTCAGTGGCCACTGACCCAAAAAGGTTCCCTACCCGTGTTCCAAAACAACAAGAATAAGGGAGTACACAGAAGTAGGGATGTAAAGAGGTACCGGTGGCTCACCTCAATGCAGATGGGTGTCATGCCAGTTTACATTCCTATTCAGAAGCACAGTAAATACCCACCCACTCATTGGTCTCAGATTTTCTATAACATTGCTGAATTTCAGTTAAACAGTGTTCAGACCCAGTTCAGGGAATTTGTTGCTGACAATGGTCAGCAGAAGTGAGGGTATGAACGTGGAGAGCAAGAGAGAGACATTCATCCCTGTTTGAATTTACATTTTCGAGGGGCAGAGTCAGAATTGATGGAACCAAATTAATGTATCATTAGGATGGATTGTTTTTAAGTTTCTCTGGTACTGAAAGGTCTGTCATGTTTTCCAAAAAGAATGTGTTCTTTAAAAGCCTGCCTTCTTAGTTTGTTTTTTTTTAAAGTAATGGATTTTTAAACTCTGTTCTTTTACAA